AACGGAGGCTTTGTAATACAACCGCTCAACTTGCTATTGGACATTTATTTTGAATTCTTTAATTTTCACAAAAAGATTTCACCATATTTTATTTTATTTTTTATTATGAGAATCAATCCTACTACTTCTGGACTAGAACTGCTTTATTGGGCTCTCTCTCTCTCTCTCTCTCTCTCAATTGCCTCAGGCCGGAGTTTTTTTTTTTTTGTCAAACATTTATGCTGCATATTGTGATGAGATAAAAATATCAAAATACAAAAATCAATGCATTATGTACATAGGGATATAAATTTTAAAGGTAGAAAATTTGCTAATGCATAAAATAACAGAAATTAACGTAAATAATCATAAATATATTTTAAGGAGGAGAATTCCCTCTAATCCAGACTAGAGGGGGCTATTAGAGCCCCTGAAACCTACCACGAATTTTGTTTTCACAATCTAAATCATTTATTTTACTGACCACTTTGTAAAAATGGATGAATGCCTAAATTAGGCATTGGGAAGTCATTATTTTGTGGTCCATAACATTGGGTAGCATTAACATTTTTAATATTACATTTGATTATGCTGTTAATTTCCTTATCGTACCCAACTTCTTATTATCTCTAGTTTTCCATTATCAATCCCACCCACTTCTCAATCAAGGGTTAGTTTGGGAACTTTTAAAAAAGTCAAAAAATTATCAAAAAAGTTAAAAAAGTTATCACTATTCACTAAAAAAATATAAAAAAATTAATATACAAATATTAAAATACAAATCAACTTTTTGGCCCATCAACGTACTGACGTCAAAACAACTGCAGTGAAAGGAAAAAAAAAAATTACATGTGTACATTCACTAAGTTGGATGGTAAAGTTGAGCCCGTGGGGGCCTACAATAGGTCCCGTTTTGATAATTCGAACGGTTTAATATGTAGAACTCGTCTAGTAATATATGTCTGTAAAAAATCACGTCTATCGGATATCGCTAACTACATGATCAAATCAGTTTTTTGTATAAAAAATGGATGGTATTATAGTTAATAGTTGGCAAAAAAACTAACACGATCAGATAGCTATCGATATCCAATCAACGTGATTTTGCAAGCATATAGTACTCGACGAGTTCTACACATTGAACGGTTTCGATTAGAAAAACGGGACCCGTGGTAGGCCCCTACGGTCCGAACAACACTGTCCAATCAAAGCCCGAAAAGGAGACAATCTTTTCCCATCTACTCACTCAGCTGACTACACTGCCAACCCATACAGCCTACTACACTATCTTCTCCTACACACTTATTTATACAATTTTTAATACATATTTTTTTATAAAAAGTCAAAAAGTTAACCCAAACATCCATATTTTTTTCTCAACTTTTTAGTCCAAAAAAATAAAAAATGCACTTATTTAGGACACCCCAAATAACCTTTAAATATAAATTAGTTGCAACTTTTTTTTTTAATCACGTATTTTAAAAAATTTCTATTCTTTTTAGAAATTGTTTGGGGAGTTAATATGTTAGCTTAAAAATTAAAAAGTCATTGAAAAAATCAACAAATCAATAAATAGAAAAAGTCAAAGATATATTTTTATTCACTTTACTTTTTACGTATTTTTTTATAAAAAATTAAAAAATCTTTCTAAACATATTAATTTATTTTATCTCATATTTTAATCCAAAAAATCAAAAAATTACTTAAGAAAAAAATTGTTCTCAAACAATATCATTTATAAGAAATAATTAAGAAATCGCCAAAAAAGACTTGGGCTATATTTGGTTGCATTCTCAAAATACAATCTTACCATATCATTTGCGCTTCACGTTTGTTTAGGAGTTTCAAATCATAATTATACACTCACTTATGAAAATTCGGTCAGAAGTGAGAAAATTTGGACTAATCGGTCGTCCCACCGGACGTCCTATCGGTTGTTCGGCTAGTTGACCGGAACAGTGTAAATATTTTTATTTTTATTTTTTTTAATTTTTTTTACAATTGACATATGTTAATTTTTATATATTCGGAAAAAATATTTTTCAAAATTTTAAAAAAAATTTATGTACTTTAATAGAATTTTGAGTTGTATGTTTGGTTATGAATTGAAAGTTTTTGTATCAAATATCATATGTCACATCAAAAATTCTCCACTCAATTCAAAAGTTTTTTCAAAACTCTTTCAGCAAACAAAATTTTCATACTTAAATCATAATTCCAAAACTCACAGACTCAAAATAAATCTCTTATTCTCAAATTATATTTAAAAAGTTTTACCAAACGCAACCTTAAATTTTAAGGAGTATCTCATCCAACAATTACAGTACCCTAAATTTTTATAAATTATATTAAATATTATATTTGTGGCACTACATACAAGATTTTGCTTATTATTATCATAACCACTTGAGAAAAAAATTGAAGTCGTTAATTCAAAAATAGAATGAACCAATGAAAGAAAAAACAAATTTATGGATACAAATAGACATGAACCAATGAACCAATGAAAGAAAATAGAAATTCATAACCCAAAACTAATCTGATCTTAAGAGAGAGAGACAGAAAGAACAAAAAAAAAAAAGGCCAATTCAGTTTGTTTGGTTTGAGTTTTCTGAATTAAATTTTTTGAGAACTGAGTTTGTTGGTTTTCTTATTTTTTTTGTTTTTAGTAAATATTTTTAAAATTTTAAATATTTTTTTTACTTTTTTAGATACACATTACTTAAATGTATCTAAAAAGTAAAAAATTTATGAAAAAATATTTAAAAAATTAATAAATACATAAAAATATAAAAAATGTACTCAATTCTCGTTTTTTTTTTTTTGTATTTTTGGTATTTAGTGAATTTTTAAAAGGTTTTTTCCATAATTTTTTTACTTTTTAGATACATCTAAGTAAGGTGCATTTTAAAAAGTAAAAAAAATTACTTAAAATATTAAAAAATTTTAGTAAAAACAAAAAAAAAACAGAAAACAAGAAAGTAGAATTTTTTGAAATGTGTTTTTGTAAAAATGGAACCAATCAAATTTTTTTATTAAAATTTTGAAAGTAAAATTTTCTAAAAAGTGTTTTTAAAAAGTGTTATGGATACTAATTTTTTTATTAAATTTTTTATTAAACACTAACATGGGTTTGAGACCCATATCTATGTAATTTTTTTATTAAATTTTTTATTAAACACTAACATGGGTTTGAGACCCATATCTATGTAGGACTCACACTTACTTGAGTTTTTGGTAAGAATTTTGATAAAAAAATAAAGGTATATTACACTAAGCTTCTCTAAGATTTAATGAAATTGCAGAAACCTCCCTCTAGATTTTTTAAATGACTTAAACCTCTTTTGAGGTTTAATTTTCAATTGTATTGACATCCCCTGAGATTTATACACTTTTTAATTTTTTGACTAAAAAAGTAGAGAAAAAAATATGTATGGTTAGGATGACTTTTTAATTTTTTACGAAAAGATATGTAATAAAATATTATAATAAAATCAAAATGACCATTCTACTTTTATTGACTTTTTGACGTTTAATTTTTTAACTTTTGGATAGTTGAATTCAAAGGGCAAAATAATAATTTGTCCTCTAAGTTTTTTCCCACAAGCTTCTCCCACAATAGTATGGACTTTTTGACTTTTTTGTATAAAATCAGGTTTGTATAAAAAATAGATCAGATAGCTATCGATATCCAATTAACGTAATTTTTTTTATATAAAATCAGTTTTGTATAAAATCAGTTTTGTATAAAAAAATAGTTGAATTCAAATCAGTTTTGTATAAAAAATAGATGGTGTTATAGTTAACCGTTGACAAAAAAAAAAAAAAAACTAACACGATCAGATAGCTATCGATATCCAATTAACGTAATTTTTTTACAAACGTATAGGGTCTGTTTGGTAACGTTTATGTTTTCAGTTTATATTTACAAAAATTTTATAAACTAATTTTTGTTTATTTTTAGAAAAACATAAACTATAAATGCGTTTGGTAATTGACAAAATGTTTGAAAAATTTTAAAAATATAAAAAAGTGTGAGAAATGACAAGTGGTGGCAGAAGACGATGGTGGAAAGTGGTGATCGTAAGTAGTGGGTAGCAGGTGGTGGTGGATAGGTGGGTGACGGTGGTGGGTGGTGGTGGTAGTGGGTGGGTGGCGGATGGTAGGTGGATGGTGGTGCGCGGGTAGGTGGCGGGTGGTAGTGGTGGTGGTGGTGGCGGGTGGGTGGCTAGTGGTGGCGGGTGGTAGATGGTGGTGGCAGATGGGTGGTGAGTGGTGGTGGCGGTTAGGTGGTGAGTGGTGGTGGCGGGTAGGTGGTGGCGGGCGATGGATGGTAGTGGCGGGTGGATGGCAGGTGAGTGGTGGTAGTGGTGGTGGTGGCGGTGGCGCTGCGCGAGGGGTGGGTGGTGGCTGGTGGATGGTGAGTGGTGGTAGCAGGTGGTGGTGGGGGTGAGTGGTGGGTGTGGTGACGGAAGACGGTGGTGGAAAATGGGTGGCGGGTGGTGGCTAGTGTTGGGTGGTAAAAAAAAAAAAACTCAAAACTCAAAAAGAAAACACATTTTTTGAGTTTACATTTTTTAGCCAAATTTATAAACTGAGACTACTGATTTATAAATTAAAAATTTACCAAACAAATTTTTTATTTGAGTTTTTTTAATTTTTGTAAATATAAACAAAAAACTGAAAACGTAAATGTTACCAAATGACACTATAGTATTCAACTTATTCTACACATTGAACAGTTCCGATTAGAAAAATAGAACCTGTGGTAGGCCCTCACGGACCGAATAACACCGTCCAATCAAACCTCGAAAAGGAAACCGTCTTTTTCCATCTCCTACACTGTCACTATCTTTCCATATACACTTATTTATATAATTTTTTAATATACATCTTTTTATAAAAAATCAAAAAAATTAACCTAAACGTCCATATTTTTTCCTCAAAGCAGAGTGAGAGACTCGGAAAAGTGAAAAATTAGAAAACATGAATTCTTGTTCTTGGTCATAAAAAAATAAAATAAATAAGAAGAAAGAGAAGAGAAGGAAGAAGAAGAAGACGACGAAGAATATGACATTTGAACAGGTCTTCAAAGCAGTGTGTAGGTGGGCAGATCGTTAAACGTCAAGATCAACCCTCCAACCCCAACAACAGGCTCTGTTTTCTCTTCTCTTTGCCATTTTCACGCGGCACAGGAGGAGAGAGAGAGAGAGAGAGAGAGAGGGGAAGATAGAAAAGTGAGTAAGAGAGGTGGTGGGTGGTTCAAATGGGGATTTGCTGGGCTTCTCCTTCCAATAACCCAAGCCCTGTCTCTACTCGTCAATTTAGTTCCACAGGTATTTTCCATCATGCCTGTTTTGTTACAGTTTCAATTCGTAACAACAATTATATAGCTTTCATATAGTGAACTTATCGAGGTTTTGGAATTTTCAATATCTTTATTTACTGTTATATATATATATATATATGACCCCCGACGATACCTTATTTGAAAGCATGATTCTGAATTTGACTGCTTTTTTATATGCTCTGTGGCTGCTGCTTTGTCTATCTGTGCAGCTATTTCTATATTTGCTCATGGTCTCTGCGTGTTGTACCTGTTATATGTTCATTTCAGCAGCAGACCAAGCTCTAGATTGTTTCTATGTTTTCATCTTTTGCTTGCTTTACATGATTCTCATCCGTGTCTGTATTGTCTGTGGGTATGCCCTTTTCTTTATATGTATTTATTTCCAATCATTTGTACTACATACTCACTTACCCAAAATAATAATAATAATAAAAATTCATTTCCTCTGTTTTTAACAAAAAATATTGTCTACTTCCTTCTTATTTTGTGCAATGTTCCATTGATGACTTTACTTTCTTATGTGGGTTTTGTGTAATTGGAATTGGATTTCCCTTTTCTGACTTTCATGGTTGTATTTAGCAGTAGGGATATCTCAGACAACCAACAACACTACATCTTCAGATGAAACCAACATCTCCGGAAACAGCCAGTTCTCGGCAGCGAGTGGCAGCGATGAGATATATCCCAATGGGCAGATCTTACCGACCCCCAATTTAAGGATCTTCAGTTTTGCAGAACTGAAGAATGCTACTAGAAATTTCAGAACTGATACAGTGTTGGGAGAAGGAGGTTTTGGTAAAGTTTACAAGGGTTGGCTTGAAGAGAAGGTGATATCCAAGAACGGTAGTGGATCAGTTGTTGCTGTCAAGAAGTTGAACTCTGAGAGCATGCAAGGATTTCAGGAGTGGCAGGTAATTCAACTAACACTGATTAGTGAAACTAGAACAAACAATGGCAATAGATTGAAGTTCTCGTGAGGGTGTTTATCACACAAGAGAGTCGATAAATCGGAAGCATGGAAAGCGTGAGATATTTGGTGGTCTTCAATTGTTCTGAACCAATCCATCTATGATGATTATATAGGCATCAGGGTGATCATTCAAATAGTTGCAACTGTTAACATCAATCTCACTCAAGAAATAGGTGCAATGGTTTATGAACCATTGTGTTTGTTCAAGTTTGAACTCAAAACTTATTCTGTTCCAGATTCTTCTACTCTCCTGCGGGAAGGATTACCACCAATGTTGTATGGGTGATGATCGGATACAGAGAGGCCCACCGACTTATGGTGTGGTCACTCTCATTCGGTCAATTAGTTGCTGAATAATTTGTGAAGAAGTCCCAAATAGCCCTTCAATTCCTTGCCTACACCTATTAGGCTTTGATACTTCTATTCTAATGTAATCAAATCTGAGAGTTATCTAAGCCTAAAATTTAACTATTTCTTCTTCTCTTTTTTGCCAAATTTCTTTTATTTTTTTATTATATATATTTTTTTGGTGCTAAGGAAAGTTAGGTTGGTCTCTTAGAAACACCTTTGTTATCTAATTTCCTTCTCAGTATGTGATTGGGCTTAAAAGTTTTCCAAAAACCCTGCTTTCCTCTCATTTGAAAGAGTAAACAACAAGGAGAGAGAGAGAGTACCCAAAAAAAAAAAAAAAAAAAGGACCTTATAAGTTAAAATTAATTTAGGTAAATGGTTCAGTTGACAGTTATTATGATGAGGTTTTCATTTGGCTGCCTAGTTTTGTCGTGGTTTAACTGATCTAATTAGTTGTTTCCTGGCATCTGCAACCATTTCAAAGGAGATTAGGGTATTGTATGGTTTGAGAATGCAAACAAGACCTGTTCTGCATTCTTAGAATTTTTTTTTTGGGTTCTGTGGTATTAGTAATTTTTTAATAAAACTCTTTGTCGCTCTCATATTTGGGATAACTAATTGTTTCACCAATTTATTTTCGTTTATTTAAATTCTTTTGAATGTCGTCTGCTTACTTGTTTGTTCAATTTTTGGGCAGTCTGAAGTCAATTTCTTAGGAAGGCTTTCTCATCCAAACCTCGTTAAGCTATTGGGATACTGTTGGGAAGATAAAGAGCTACTCCTTGTCTATGAATTCATGCAAAAGGGCAGTTTGGAGAACCACCTTTTTGGAAGTAAGAGCTAATATAATTGATTTATGTTAATATAATGTGCAAGTGTTAATTAGCAATGCAAACTGATTTTGTCTTCTTTAAATTAACCAAATTAATTTGGCTGACTATACGGCTTATGGTTTGGTTTGTGCAGGGGGATCTGCTGTTCAGCCACTTCCATGGGACATACGGCTTAAGATACTAATAGGAGCAGCTCAAGGCCTGGCATTTTTGCACACATCAGATAAACAAGTGATATATAGAGATTTCAAGGCGTCAAATATATTGCTTGATGGGGTAAGTTTACTCAATCAATTAATTAAGCACCGAGTGACATACAGAGCAATGCAAATTTTGTTTCATGGTTGAACGTCATACTTTTCTTCTAAGAAATGCGAACATTTCTAAGAAGGTGTTGTATTTATGTTAGATATTGACACTTGTTGGACACGCCCGGCACATGTCAAACACGTGCCGCAATGTGTCCTATTGATTTTAGAATATTCTTACTTAACCTAACACACTTTGAATACTTGGGAGATGTGCGTTCATTATTGACACGTGCCCAAATGTGTCCTATTGATTTTAGAATATTCATACTAAACTTGACACACTTTGAATACTTTGGAGATGTGCGTTCATTATTTAAACACACATAAATCTCATGCCAAGTTTGAAAAAGTGACTCGGGAGCCAATCTATTGGACAAAAATATGTCCTATTGATTTCAGACTATTCTTACTAAACCTGACACACTTTGAATACTTGGGAGATGTGTGAGCCAATCTGTCGGACAAAAAGGAAAGGGTATTTGTATTCACACAATGAGGAATACCTAACAAGGGTTTCATAAGGGTCAAACACGCCACACACCCTAAAAGGACTAGTCTAACTTTTAAACAGGTGGAGGACCTTACCTACTCTTCACCTGAAGGGTTCACGCCCGATGCGGGATGAATACAAGAAATACTTATTCTATAACCAAAAAATTTTAATAGATAGTTTTTGGAATAGATATTAATTTCTTCACACTTTTTTTTTTCTTCTTCAATATATAGAATATAAAAACAGATTTCTTTCTATTTTGTTATAGTAGAAAATGAAGAATTAATTGTTATTTTCATATATATATACACAAATATTTATTTATTTGTTCTTGTGTCCTTGGCATGTTCTAATTTTATGAAAACTATCATGTTAGTGTGTCAGTACCGTGTTGTATTTATTTGTGTCCCTCATTCATATATGTGCTTCTTAGCTTTTCTTATAAACCATTTGAAAGTAGCAACTTATAAATTGCACTCATTCAGTAACACCCCCACTTCTCCCCATTCTCTTGCTTAGACTTTTTTTCCCCCACCGCATTATGTTGGTGGAAAATAGGTTAAGAAAAAGGAAAAAAAGTGAAGTGGTAACAAAAATGTATCATATATATATCAGAAGATTTTAGGAAGGTCAAGCATGATTTCTTAAACTTGGTCTGACATATTTGTTTCTTTTTGGTAGTCCTACAATGCCAAGATTTCAGACTTTGGTTTAGCAAAATTGGGTCCCTCGGCTAGTCAATCACATGTGACAACACGGGTTATGGGCACATCTGGCTATGCTGCTCCGGAGTATGTTGCCACAGGTAATCTCTGAACCTTTTTAAGCTTTAGGCTCTTAATGCTGATGATTATCAGAATCAAGCTTTTGAACTAAACCCACTCAAATATTGTGTCATTATACTAATTCTATGCTGGCTAAGCAGGGCATTTGTATGTGAAGAGCGACGTGTATGGTTTTGGCGTTGTATTGGTTGAGATGCTAACAAGCTTACGAGCAGTTGATCAAAACCGACCAAGTGGGCAACATAATTTGGTTGACTGGGTCAAACCATACTTAACTGACAGAAGAAAGTTGAAGAACATAATGGACTCGCGGTTGGAAGGAAAATATCCTTCCAAAGCTGCACTGCAAATAGCTCAGCTTGCTCTAAATTGTCTTGGAACTGAACCCAAAACAAGGCCGTCAATGAAAGAAGTTTTGCAGACACTGGAACGGATTGATGCAGGCAATGAAAAACCAAAGGAGCCTAGAATTAATTCTACACGCCATACTGCTAATCGACGTGGCCAGCAGCGTTTGCATCATCGATCTCCACTTCACCCTTGGCAAGACGGAAATCAGTCCTATCAACTCCCACCACGATCATCGTAACTTCAATACACCACTTCCAATGAGGGGCAGGTTTTGAATATATGTTTGCTGATTATTATTGTTATATCAAACGGTCCCTGTTTCTTCTGTTATGTGAGCTCATGAAAATTGTAATGAGTTTTGTTGTTCTAGTGCTGGGTTGTATTCCATAGATGTGGATCTTATTCTTGTGCTTGGATATGTAGCATGGTCATTATATGTACACTAAGAGGAAATTATATGGATTGATAAAATTTGTAGATTGATTGTATACATTGTTTCGTGAATTTAAACAGTTGAAATGAGGGATTGTGAGGTGAGCTACCCGGCGGTGTGTGGCCAGAAAAACCCTCCGACGGTCAAGTTAGCACACACAAAGGTGGAGGTGGTGAGTTTTGAAAATTTTGATAGCGATGGTGATGATGATGAAACTAATTATTTATAAAGTAAACATATCTTTTTTCCTTTTTTTTTTATAGTTAAGAGTGAATATTTACTCATCTAAATTTTGGTGAGCATAGTATTATGCATGCGCATACCTGTTATTGTGGTCCTCAATGCCATGTATTTGTAAAGTTAGGCTATTTTTTGCTATAGTGTCTTCCACAATTTCCACGCCCATTTAATTAAATTTACTCGCTGATGTACTCGCTCATACCTACTAGCATATTCAATTGATATCCACAGAAATACAATTCCTAAAATTAATTAAATGTACTCGCCGATGTAAATGTGCTCGCATGCCCTTCCCCAAGGGCACATTTTTCTTTGTTGCTTTAAGGCTTGTCCTCCCTCCTCTTATATAATAGGATTTTGGTAATGTCATGGCCCTTCAAGTGAACTCAGAGGCCTTGCTTACGGTAGTCCTTTCCCCCTTATTTTGATGCTTCTTTTTATCTTGCTCTCCTTTTTTGGTTCTTTTTTCTTTTATCTTTATGGGAACAACACCCATTTTTTGTTCAATTTACGAATATTCATATCATCAGTCACATTTCATGCTCATGATTCTGACAGTTTAGTTTCATTTTCAAATTGTTAATGTTGCTAGCCTATGTGCAAATTGTCGAGGATAACCATCAATGAGGCATAACACATTTTGTCTCATACTATAATTTACCTAACGCAAGATTAATCTCGAAGTTATCTGGAATGTGGATCATGCCGGTGAGTGGAATGGGAACAAGATCGTGGTACTTCTAGTCTAGAGCTTTTTTTTTTTCCCTCCAAATCAATCATGCAGCAACACATTCCATAGGCATTAGCATTATGACCTTTTTCTATTTATTTTTTATTTTTTATGTTTTGTCATGTCAAAACTTCACTTACCTTAGATTTTGGTTCTTTATATTTGATTTTTATTTATTTTTTGGCTCCTACAAAACCGTAAGGAAATATATTGAAAAAAACATTTGGAATTGCTTAGGATTGTTAAATTTCTCATTTTGGAACGAAAGTGTAACCATGTAATATGTGTTCCAAAATGTAATTGGGTAGGGTATATATCCATGTTTTTTGGTAACGCTGATTTACCTGCATTCATATTGTTTGCTCTTGAAGTGGTGGTTACAGAGAAGTTGTTTTCTAGTTTGGACCTTCTCAGGAGAGATTATTTCAAATTCACTCTCTATGACTCAGTAGGATGGGATGATTATGAATTTGTAGATTATTTCTCAAATGGCAAAAGGATAGAACTGAGAAAAACCTTAAGAGCTATAGATTGACTAATAAAGAGATCAAGAAAGTAGTGAGAGAGACTAAATTGATAGCTTATGATGACCTATACACTAGACTAGATAGTAAGGAGGGAGAGAAGAAGGTATACAAATTTGCTAAGATACGGGAGAGGAAAACAAGAGATTTTAATCAAGTTAAGTGCATTAAGAGTGAGGATTCTAAGGTTTTAGTGAGGGATGAAGAGATTAAAGAAAGATGGAAGGACTATTTTAGAAAACTATTAAATGAGGAACATGGAGGTACCGCAATAGGGCAAGAAATAGCCAGTAATACGATAAACCAAAACTATAGGTTCTATCGCATGATTAGGAACTTTGAAGTGGAGATTGCACTTAAGAAGATGAAATCAAATAAGGCTTTAGGACCAGATGATATTCCTATTAAAGCTTAGAAGTGTTTGGGTAAAAAAAGGGTTGCTTGGTTGACTAGGTTGTTTAGCAAAATTTTGTTGACTAGGAACATGCTAGATGAGTGGAAAGGAGAATATTTTAGTGCCAATCTATAAGAATAAAGGAGATGTCCAAAATTGCAACAACCATAGAGGAATCAAGCTAATGTGTCATATAATAAAAGTATGGGAGAGGGTGATAGAACGCCGATTGCGAGATATAACAGAGGTGTTAGAGAATCAATTTAGGTTTATGCCTGGCAGGTCAACAATGGAAGTGATCTATCTTTTGAGGAGAGTAATAGAAAAGTATAGAGAAAAGAAAAGAGACATCCATATGGTGTTTATTGACCTTGAGAAAGCATATGATAAAGTGCCTCGGGATATAATACGGTAGGTGTTAGCAAAAAAAGGGGTGACAAAATGCTATATTGATGTGATTAGGGACATATATGAAGGGGTGGTGACCAGATCGCCTGCTAGAGAGACAAATGAATTTCTTTTCATTATAGGGTTACACCAAGGATCTACCTTAAGTCCTTATCTTTTGCTTTAGTTATGGATGAATTGACGAGAAATATCTAGGATGGCATGCCATAGTGTATGCTTTTTGCAGACGATATAGTGGTAGGAGATAAGACTAGAGAATGAGTTAATACGAAGTTGGAGATTTGGAGAAAAACTTTTAAATCTAAAGGATTCCGGATAAGCAGAATTAAGACACAGTATATTGAGTATAAATTTAGTAACAATAACAATGAAAGCAGAGGATAAGTGAAGATTAAGAATCAAGAACTGCCTAAGAGTGAACATTTTTATTATTTAGGGTTGATTATCACAACAGCAGGGGAGATTGATGCGGATGTGGCCCATAGGATTGAAGCGGGATGGTGTAAGTGAAGAAGTGTGTCTGGAGTACTGTGCGATAGACGAATACCCATTAGACTTAAAGGTAAGTTCTATAGAACGGCTATTAGACCAGTGATGTTGTATGGGATGGAGTGTTGGGCAACCAAGAAACAACATGTAGATAAGATGAGTGTGGCTGAGATGAGAATGCTAAGGTGGATGTGTGGCAAGATTAGACAAGACATAATTAGGAATGAGTGTATTCGGAAATGGGTAGGAGTAGCACCGATAGAAGATAAGTTGCGAGAAAATCAATTGAGATGGTTTGGTCATATTCAACGGAGACCAACAGAAGCAGTAGTGAAGAGATACGATGCTGTAATGGTAGATGGAAATGTTAGAAGACGGGGTAGGCCTAGATTAATTTGGGTAGCGTTGTAAATAAAGATATGGATCTGCTTAATTTGACTAACGAAATGGCCTTTGATAGGACCGTGTGGAGAAGAAGGATTCGTGTAGCCGACCCCATTTGATAAGACTTAAGGCTTGGCTTGGTTTGGTTTGCTTTGGTTTGGCTAATTGTTTTGGAATCTTCCAACCAATATCTTCTTTCCAATCCATCTTCCATCAACATTGACATCTTACAATGCTATGATAACACACCTCTTTCTCCACTGGTTTCTTGGAGATGTCAAAGTTTCAATTCAAATGTGAAATAAACTGTTTTTAAACCTTGTTGCATTCTGTAGAATTTTCGACACCATCTTGGATGTTCGAGGAGTTGCTTACAATGTCAGAAAGTTCACTAAAAAAAAACACACACACACACATACAAAAAAAACAATGAGTTAAAAAACTTGGCCAGAACAGTTTTTGGCTGAGTTTCTAGTAACTATAGACCAAATTATCCATGTCCTTGCCATGCTATATGCCTTTGCGAAGCTTATTAAAACTCATGAGTGGATTTCTTTTCCCATTGCGCCATTATGTTTTTTCTGACAATCGGAACTTTGTCCTTATGAACAGTTCATGTTCTGCATAGTTGAATCTGTCATGGATAAAGTAGGCAGCTGGGGAAGGCTGTTTTTTGACTCTCTGTGTAGTTTCCAACGAAATTGCATTTTTTATGTTCTCTCTGTCGGTCCAATCTCCTATCACATTGCCTTCATCATGGATGGGAACCGTAGATACGCCAAGAAGTGGAATATGGTTGAAAGTGCTGGCCATAGGGTTGGGTTCTTGGCTCTCATATCAATGCTCAGGTATTGCTACGAGCTTGGTTTGAAGTATGTAACAGTCTATGCTTTCAGCATTGACAATTTAAAGAGAAAACCCGAAGAAGTTCAAGCCCTTATGGACTTGATGGAGGAAAAGATTGAAGGGTTGATGAAGGAAGAAAGCATAGTGAACCGCTATGGAGTGAGGGTTCATTTTATTGGAAATCTGAAGCTCTTGAACAAATCTGTGAGGGTGGCAGGGGAGAGGGTTATGGAGGCCACTGCTAATAATTCTAAAGTGGTGATGTCTATCTGTGTTGCCTATACTTCTACTGATGAGATTGTGAATACTATTCAAAGATCATGCGATTAAAAACTGAATAAAACTCAAGAGCAGAATTCAATGAAGCCAGGATTGAAGAGTATGATCATGATCAAATAAATTTGGTGAACATTGAAAAGCATATGTACATGGCAATCACTCCTGATCCAGACATCTTGATTCGGACATCAGGGGAGACTCGACTGAGCAATTTTCTTCTTTGGCAGAGCGCATTTTCGTATTTGTATTCTCCCTCTGCACTTTGCCAGAGATTGATTTTTGGCACTTGGTTTGGGCAGTCTTGAATTTCCATCAGAATCACTTTTATTTGGAGAAGAAAAAGAAGCAACATTAGATATTGTAGGTGGGAGAGAATTGGAGAGCACTTGTGTTAATTGTTATATGTTATACTAGTGGCAAGATGACATATAAAATAAAATAAATGTGGAGTTCAATAATATTACCCTCTGCTTATTATTTCATGAATGGTATTGGATATCTTCTTCGTTTTCAAGATTCAATTCACAGTTTTAGGCCTATCAAATTTATGTATGTTTGTGCAATGTTTTCTGGCCTCACAGCACATGTGAAGATAAATGGCAGATTTGGTGCATATTGTTTTTTTGGCTCAAAGAAAACAGTCCTTTGGAAATTGATTTGTGTGTGGATTGCTAAAAGTTTTTGAGGTTATTTGTTTTAAGGAAAATAATGTTCGAATTCAAACCAAATCAATTTGAATAGTGAAAAAGATAACGTGTCACTTTAATATTGCAGAGTCTTATAGGCCCACACAATTAACTTTTTTTTTATGAGTGTTTTAACACTTTTTTCGATTTTTTCTTGAATAGAAAGAGTTTATAAATAATTAATTAAGGTTCATAGAAATTTTGTCAAAAAATAAAATTTTGTTAAAAGAACGCTGACATTCATTTTATGATTCCATGACTCAAAGCACATCGTATCTACGACTGAATATGATATTGAATATACACACAAAACAACAAAGAGGGGTACTAGATCATTAAGAAACACCTTTTAGAGTTGGTTTGGGATGTTTTAAAAAAGTGCACTTTTTGATTTATTGGCTTATATGGGTTGGGTTTGATGTGATGTGTTAGAGAGGTGATGTGATTTAAATAAAGTGATGTGATTTAAATAAGATAGTGACTTTTTGACTTTTTGTATTGTTTAATAAATGTCAAACTTGAACTTAGTTGCATCAATGAATATGAAAGTGAACGCACACAGAAGGGGACCATATCAAGGCCCAAAACTACATATTATTCCAAGGGCAGCTATTGTCGAGGGGTTAGCCGTTAGGCTCTCTAAACATTACGTTAATTTAGTTTTTTTTTTTTTCAAAGCTTTTTTTAAATTTTCTTCTTTCCATCTATTTCTATCATTGATGTGACGTATCATAAACAGTATCATAAGTTAATTTAGCTTCTTCTTTTTTCGAAAGCTCTTGAAATTGAGTCCGGATTCTCGGCCGCCCTTCTCGGCGGTCGTCCCAGTAGCCCCCCAAAACGACGTCGTTTTGGGGGGCTACTGGGACGACCGCCGAGAAGGGCGGCCGAGAATCCGGACTCAATTTCAAGAGCTTTCGAAAAAAGAAGAAGCTAAATTAACTTATGATACTGTTTATGATACGTCACATCAATGATAGAAATAGATGGAAAGAAGAAAATTTAAAAAAAGCTTTGAAAAAAAAAAAAAACTAAATTAACGTAATGTTTAGAGAGCCTAACGGCTAACCCCTCGACAATAGCTGCCCTTGGAATAATATGTAGTTTTGGGCCTTGATATGGTCCCCTTCTGTGTGCGTTCACTTTCATATTCATTGATGCAACTAAGTTCAAGTTTGACATTTATTAAATAATACAAAAAGTCAAAAAGTTACTATCTTATTTAAATCACATCACTTTATTTAAATCACATCACCTCTCTAACACATCACATCAAACCCAACCCATATAAGCCAATAAAAAAAAAAAAAAAAAACGAAAAAACCCCCAAAACGACGTCGTTTTGGGAGGCTGCTGGGAACGGCCACCGAGAAGGGCGGCCGAAGATCCGGATTCCTTGAAATTTACCTTCTTTCCGTATATTTCTAATGTTGACGTGACATATCATAAACAATATCATAGATTAATTCGTATAGATCAGCTAGATAAAGAGCAGGGCTAGAGAAATTACAAGATAACGTGGCTAATGAAAATAAAAATCTTGTTTGGTTTGTTTTTGGAAGAGTTGTTTTTGAAAAAAAATTTGAGGAGAGTTTAGAAATTTTTTTAGTTTATTTGGTTGTATATTTTGGGAGAGTTATTTTTTTGAAAGTTTGGGATGATTTGATGTTTTGGGAGAATTTGAGTAGATGTGTGTGAGAGAAAAAGTGATTGAGAAGGAGAGAGGAGAGAGAAAAAATGATTGATTGATGTATAAGAGAGAGAAAGTGATTTTGAAAATTTTTTGAGAAAAACTCAAACTAAACAATTTTTTAATTTTTTTTTTCTAAAACTCATATCCCAAATACAAACCAAACACACCCGACACTTTTTTTTTTTTTATCTTCCTCAGTCTATAAAAAATGATTCATATGGTTGAAGTTGTTATTACACTTTATTAGCTTACAAATGATTTGAATATTTTTATATGCGTGTAAGTCTTATATCTTATGTCTTTGTGTTTGTTTGATATTTTTCAATCATTCTGTGAAATTTTTTATATTAATTATGTATCGTAATTAATCTTCGTTATAATTATAATTAATTGAATTTTATTATAATATCACATATCAATTAAAAACAAAAAAGCAGCCATGGTCCCCAAGTTCTTTGTAAGTGGACAAAAATGTACATATTTTTGTATTTTTGCATTTTTTTTTTGAAAAAATAGACGGTTGATTTTCAAAAATATATTTGTCATCCATTTTTTCAATAACAAATGAAATAAAATAAAAATATTACGATTATCGAATCGATTTAATTTTTTTCTATGAAAAATAGATATTAAGGCCTTAAAAATTAACAATTTGAATTATCAAAACCACGACATGTGGTGAGCCCCACAATGTCTTCAAGTTTTTTTATGATTTAAATATGTCAAATCATTCATTATAAATTTCTATATATTGTTTTTGTAGAAATTTTTGGAACAACTTCTCTCCTGTCTGAAATCAGATTAGAACATATTGTTGGGCTCTGTAGACCTACCATGGAATCCACATCGATGATCCGAAACGTTCAATATATAGATCTCATCGAATACTTTATCTTTTGGCAAAAATCACGTTAGTCGGATATCGATAGCCTCTTGATCAGATCAAATTTGTGTCAATAGTAATTATGATTTTAAAAATAAATTGTTAATACAAATGTGATCTGATCAAGTGACTATCGATATCCAATCAACGTGATTTTTTACATGAATAAAGTAATCAACGAGTTCTACACATCAACGATTCGAATTATAGATGCGGGATTCATGATGGACTCATGAAGACCCAACAACCCAACTGGAGAGAAGTTTGAGCCAAAATTTTACACTATGCACAGAAAGGTGTCCCATATGCCCAATTATGATATTTTGTAATATTTGGTTGGAATTTATTAGAGTATTAGTTATAATTTAATTATAATTTTTTGACGTGTTGGGTATGAATTAGTTATGACTAAAGAAATATTTATTGTGGTCTTGGTATTAAATTAATTATTGGGGAATTTAGTCAAAAACTCATTCATACTAAAATTTTAATACATTAAGAATAAATACAAAAAGTTTTTTTTTGAAAAGTCCAACAAATATCGTTATTATCAAAATATTGAACTTTAAAATAATATAATTTTTAATGTAGATGTCGGTTTTTAATAAAATTAATATTTTTGGAATTCTCTCATCAAGATCTATTAAATAAGTTCCATGTTGACTATGAAATTCTTTTTCTTTTTTTTTTTTAAAATTATTACCGTTAATAGTAACATGTTACTCTGTCTCACAGTAACATGTGATAATATTGTCCAAGAAAGGGGGAGGGGAAAAAAAAAGGGAAGATATTTACTTTATCCTTACTCAATTATGCGTTTTCTCCTTAGGGGGTTTATGAAGAAAAATATATTGGTCTATTTTTTTCACCAAATAAGAATCCAATGGAGAAATTTTGACTAAATTTCCCTTAATTAATTTACCTATTATGGTTGTTGATTTGCCAACAAAAAAATTGATTTTACCTAAAATTATTCAGTGTGTTTGGTTTCAGTTTTCTTAATTAAGTTTTTTAAAAATTGAATTTTTTATTTTTATTTTTTTTTGTTTTTAGTAAATATTTTTAAATTTTAAGCATTTTTTTTTTTACTTTTTTGGATACACCTTACTTATATGTATTTAAAAAGTAAAATATTTGTGAAAAAATATTTTTAAAAATTAATAAATACACAAAAACATGAAAAATATACTAAATTTTTTTTTTTGTATTTTTGGTATTTAGTAAATTTTTTAATGATTTTTTTCATAAAAATTATACTTTTAAAGTGCATTTATGTTAGGTGTGTCTAAAAATAAAATAAAAAATTATTTTAAATATTAAAAAATTCAATAAAAAAAACAAAAAATAAGAAAATGAATTTTTTTAGAAAGTATTTTTAAAAAATTAAAACCAAACAAGTGATTATTGCGAAACAAGCAAAATAGGCAACTTCTCAAACCATGCAACCAAACAGTATTGGAGTTGCTCGGCTAGTCATAGCAACCAAATAGGAAACAAGGAAAGTGTTTTCCGAACCGTGGGAAAGTAATTGGGCAAATTTTTGGGAACTTATGATATGTGATATACACAAAATTTAAAATTTATCTAATTTTAAAATAAAATATTCATACTAATTAATTATATATATATTTTTAATTGTTATAAAAAAATTCTTATTTAAAAAAAAAAGTACTTTTTTAAAGATTTTGCCATATCCCATCACCGTTAAATTTCCATCAAACGATCATCAGACACAATGGAATGTTCAACATTACCGAAAAGTTGTCGGAATATCACCAAAAATTTGCCAGAGTATGGCTGGAATGTTCTGAACATTACCGAAAGTCGTTGGAATGTCTAGAATGTTCACTGGACGTCAAGAATATCACCGAAAACTCATCGGAATATCTAAAATATTGCCCAAAAAAGAAGAAGAATAAACTAAGAAATTAAAGTGAAAAAATATAGCAAAATGTGCTAAATATTGATAGACTAAAAGAAAAAAAAAAAAAAGAATAACAAACAATGACAATGAAAAAAACATATGTTATTTTCAATTTTTGTAGGGTTTAAAGCAAATAATTTTCAATATTGATCACACTAAAAATCAAGTTTTGAAACTATAAAATGTTGCAATTACAAAATATGATTCCGTTAAGTATTTATCCTTATTAATTAAACTGAAAAACATATTGTGAAACTGTAAAATTTTACAGTTCCAAAGAATGATTCATTTCAGTACCAAAAAAAATTGAAACTATAAAATTTTACAGTTTTCACTACCTACAATTAAACTCGAAAATAACTTGTTCAGAACTTAAAAATTTTCTCTATTATAACAGGAAAATAAAAGTGTGTAGTATAAAAAAAGTATTAAAACTAAGAGATCGAATGAAAGGGTCAAATATAGAGAGATACTTGTACTCTGACAACTATTTTTTGGTTTAGATCTAGCCGGATTTAATGTAGATTTACTCAGATCTGATGTAGATCTGAGTAGATCTAAATCAGATTTGAGTAGATTTACCCATCTTCTTCGTCAAAATTAATCTCTTTTGCCATCGGTAAACACGAAATAAGGAGTTGGTACTGTGTGGTTGTTCGTGAATCTCAATCAATCACTTTTTCTCTATTCTCTCTCATTTTTAATCATTTTTTCTTATATACATCTATTTAACTACAACAAAATATCAAATCATCCCAAAATTCCATTCTCTAGAACTAAATTTTCAAAATACGTAACCAAGCAAACTAGGGTTGGTTTGGGATGTCCTAAAAAAGTGTGCTTTTTATCTTTTTACGAAAAGATGTGCAGAAAAGTAGAGAGGTGATGTGATGAAAAAAAGTCTCACATTTTTAATCATTTTTTCTTATATACATCTATTTAACTACAACAAAATATCAAATCATCCCAAAATTCCATTCTCTAGAACTAAATTTTCAAAATACGTAACCAAGCAAACTAAATTTTTTTTTAAACTCTTCCTCCAAAATTTTTTTTTTTTTTGAAAATTTATGTCCGAAATCTGTCAACTGACTCTCCCGCCATTTCTGGCAAACTATACAAACAAAACAAGTTCAGCGACTCGAAAACGTTCATATTTTTTGAAAAGTAAATCGACCGTTACATGGAACAAACTAAAAAACTGGCCAAAGCTCTGTTCAAGAACTCCAACAACCCCAAATTGGCATGGCAGCTTTTCAAACGCATCGTTGTCTCCTCACCCAACTCATCCAATTCCCTCCCTCACTTCCTTCAATCAGTTCCCCTCATTACCCGTATCCTTGTTCGCGCCAAAATGTTCCCGGCGATCGATTCCCTCCACCGACTCCTCCTCTCTCAACCCCTCGAACATTCCCATACTTCTCTAATTACAGTGGTGAAAATCTTGGCAGAGTTTGGTTATTCCAATGTGGCCATTTCTCAATTTCAATCCATTCGAACCCAGTTCCCTGCTAAACCCAACTCAGTGTCTTTCTATAATTTGCTTATTGAGTCTTCTCTTCGAGAGAATTGTGTCGATTACATCTCGTGGTTGTACAAAGACATGATCTTTGCTGGGTTTTCGCCTGACACTTACACCTTTAATCTTCTGATAGGCCAGCTCTGTGATTCTGGTCGTTTGGAAGATGCCCGGAAGTTGTTTGATAAAATGCCTGAGAAAGGTTGTCTGCCCAATGAGTTTAGTTTTGGAATTTTGGTTCGTGGGTATTGCATAGCTGGGCTTGCTACCCAAGGTTTGGAGCTTTTGGATGCAATGAAGGGTATGGGTTTTTCTCCTAACACAGTAATATACAATACTTTGATTTCAAGTTTTTGTAAGGAAGGTAAGACTGACGAAGCTGAGAAATTGGTGGAGAGGATGAGAGAGGAGGCTCTGTCTCCAGATGTTGTTACATTTAATTCTAGGATTGCAGCTCTTTGTAGTTCAAGAAAGATTATGGAAGCCTCTAGAATTTTCAGAGATATGCAAATAGATGAAGATTTGGGGTTGCCTCAGCCTAATATCATAACATTTAATCTAATGCTGCAGGGTTTTTGCAAGGAAGGAATGTTGGAGGAAGCAAAGACCCTGGTTGAGTCTATGAAAAGAAATGGTGTTTTCACAAAAGTGGAGAGCTATAATATATGGTTGTTGGGTTTGGTGAGAAATGGGAAGCCATTAGAAGCACAATTAATCCTCAAAGAGATGGCAAAAAAGGGCATAGAGCCAAATGTTTACTCATATAACATTGTAATGGATGGGCTATGCAAGAATGGAATGTTTGCTGACGCAAGAATGGTAATGGGTTTAATGAGAGGTAGTGGAGTTCCCCCTGATGCAGTTACTTATAGTACTCTACTCCATGCATACTGTAGAAAAGGGAAGGTACTTGAAGCCAATAACATTTTGCATGAGATGGGGAGGAGTAGCTGTTATCCAACCCGTCACACTTGCAACATTTTGCTGCACAGCCTGTGGAAAAAGGGGAACGTATCAGAAGCAGAAAATTTATTGCAAAAGATGAAAGAGAGAGATTATGGCTTGGATACTGTAACCTGTAATATTGTGATTGATGGCCTATGTAAAAGTGGGAAGGTGGACAAAGCAATTAAAATTGTGAGTGAAATGTGGAGTCACGGAAGTGACGCTCTTGGTGATCTGGGAAATTCATTTATTGGCATATTGGATGATGGTAATAACAGGAAGAAGTGCCTGCCTGACTTGGTCTCATATTCGATCATAATTAATGGGTTATGCAAGGCTGGGAGACTTGACGAAGCTAAAAAAAAGTTCATTGAAATGATGGGGAAGAATTTGTACCCTGACTCAGTTATTTATAATACTTTTATAGATAGTTTCTGTAAAAATGGAAAGATATCCTCAGCATTCCGGGTTCTCAAGGACATGGAGAAAAAAGGTTGCAACAAGAGCTTACAAACTTATAATTCTTTGATCCTTGGGTTGGGGAGTAAAAATCAAATATTTGAAATGTATGGACTGATGGATGAGATGAAAGAAAAAGGTGTTTCTCCTAATGTTTGCACGTACAATAATATGATTAGCTGCCTGTGTGACATAGGGAGAATAGAAGATGCAACTTCTCTTTTAAATGAAATGTTACAAAGAGGAATATCCCCTAATATTTCTTCCTTTGGATTCGTAATTAAGGCTTCTAGCAAGGCAGGTGAGTTTGGAGTAGCACGAGAGGTATTTGATATTGCTCGCAGCATATGTGGCCATAAGGAAGCACTTTATAGTTTGATGTTCAACGAGTTACTTGCTGGAGGGGATGTCTTGGGAGCCAAGGCACTATTGGAAGCTGCATTAGATAGATATTTTGACATAGGGAGCTTTCTCTACAAAGATCTCATTGACAGTCTTTGTAAGGATGAGAATTTGGAAGGCGCCAGTGATATTCTGAAAAAGATGATTTACAACGGATATGGGTTTGATCCTGCATCTTTCATGCCAGTAATTGATGGTTTAGGTGAAAGGGGAAATAAACGGGAGGCTGACGAACTTGCAGAGAAGATGCTGGAGATGGCTTCAGAGGGTAAGGTGGCAAATAAAGTTTACCGAAATGAGAGGGAATTAAATCGTGGGAAACCAAAAAAGTACGGTGGAAATTGGCAGACCATACTGCACAGGTATAGCTGTTAAGAGTTTTTCTTATTCTTTCCATTTTTATTTTCTTAACTGTTCTCACTGCTTTATATGAGCATGGGACTCAATTTGAGTATGGTGGGTTTGTCTGCTTCTTCCTTTTTCAGTAGTTCATAATTTGTTTCATGATTGGTCATTCTTGATTACCTGTTTCAGTAAAGTTTGAGAATCCTATACCATGATAAATTAGAATGATGGTACAAAAATTGCTTAATGATGTTTGTAGCTCAAATGAAGAGGAGATATAATTTAGTGATTAGTTTCACCCTAGACCAAAGTTGATCATCCAATCTAAAGACTTAGTTTTTTTCTCTCAAGGTGAAGGACACTTTTTTCAAGTACCATCCAGTTGAGAATGTAGGAAATGGGTATAGTTCTTTTGGATGCATCAAACAATACAATGGGAGGTGCGGTGGATGGGCCTATCCTAGTGAGCTTGTTTCTTTAATGTTAGACAGGGTGTCAAGAGCCCTTTCTGGGATCATAGTTGGTCATTGTTTCATTCATAGTATAATTCTATATTTTTTTCAACCCATTATTATTATTATTATTTTTTTGGTGTCTTGCTAACATCATGTCTATTAAATAATCATGGACAGAGATGAAGGCAGTGGAATAGCAGTGAAAACTCTGAAGCAGGTACAAAAAGGCTGGGGTCAAGGAAGTATATCAAGTCTGCATCCGCAGAAAAATGATTTTTTTGATAGCTGGGATGGTATTGTATGAAATTTATTAATTCATTGAGACTGATTCTCAATATCTGATACTGGTTGGAGGGATAGTTGAATGCTGAAGTTGAAGCAATGAAACAATGAAACATCATTCATCATTAGGTAAGAAATAAGATCATGGTAATTTGTCATAAAATCACTAATTACCTTCAACTTAATAAAATTATGATGTATATAACCCTCATGTGGGGAAGAGATCCATTCTTATGCACAAATATTTATGTTTACACCAAAACTGGTTGCAATACAGTTGCTTGTGTGATTGATGAATTTTTGCAGAAAAAGCCATTAACAGAGCTATGTGATGCTTCCCAAAGCTCCAATTTTCTGGCTCATCGTTAAGTAGTACATTACAATTATTGTGGTAATCAGTTTTAATTGCTATGGAAATCGGGTTTGTAATTGTATTAGACTAGCTTGCACTTGCAAAATAGGCATAACAGCAGCTGAGTAAAATCCAAATTAGAAAATTTTATGGTGTAAATAGACCTTGTGTTGTGGGAGATTAGCCCAAATGCATATAACTTGCAATTACACAAACTTCCTTTTAGAAAACTTTATGATTTGTTTTCTTGATGTATTCTTGCGGACGAATCACATTTACCAAGCTAAGTCGGAGTATTGTTTATTTCTCAAGATCAAACGTTAGATCATCTCTGTCTGGACTATCCTATATTCTGCTGGATTTTGTTTTAGAAGGTGCCTCTCGACTGGTCTATAACCGGCCCGGAACATATTGGTAAGTTATAGCCTCATTAATCTAGTCCATCTTTGTTTCATCTGCGATAAGAAAACGAAAACGACTAAAAAAACAACAGTGTTTTCAAACTTTTCATCTAAGGTACATGTATCTTTATTCTTCTTGGAGGTTTGCAGGTGATTTCAGTGTCTGGTCCACCATCAAGATATGCTGAGAAGTGGCTAGAAGATCAGCATTATTCATCTTTGTGCCAGGTTAAATGTACTTGAATATTCACTTCCATGTTAGTGAATCAAATGTGACTTTATTCTCCTTTTTTCTTTTTTGTATCATAGGTTATATGCGTCTGACATTTATAGCAGTTCTCCAGTTTTTCAATATTTGAGGTTTATTTGATTCCTTCTTTAGACAAGTAGGAAAAAATCTATGCAATATCAAAGGGTGCTCAAAATTAATAGTTTAATTACTTAGTGTTAAAAGAACAATCTGCTTCTACAACACCATAGGCCGCCACCTCTTGCTCACTGACCTCCACCGCAGCTCCAAGCTCCGTCGCTGTCATCGTCTCCGCTGCAGCTTCATCGCCAACCCACTGTCGGCCTTTCTGCTGCGACCTCTCCGCCGACCTCTCTCTCTCTTTCTTGCTTGCTCTTGGCTAGACGACAGACAGCGTGATCAATGCCGTTTTGTATGGTTTTATTGAAGAAATGGAGGTGAGTGTGCAACACGTGAGTTGCAGAGGAACAGACGTCATACACAAACTCATCTTTAAACAAGAAAATAGTCTGATTCATCTCTCCCACCAACACATCTTTCACATACATACTCTGATGCTTTTCAAGAAACCCCACTCAGCTTTCTTTTATTTTAATATATATATATATATATGTATATGTTTCTTATATTCTATTACCCAACGCCAACTTTTGCACAAACCCATACCTCTTTTTTCTTTTTTTTCTTCTGAAGCCACTGTCTTTTTTCTTTTTTTTTCTTCTGAAGCCACTGAGTCCATCTTCACCTTTTGTACCCCACCCACGTTGCTCCACTTTCTTTCTTTTATTTTATTTTTTTTATTTATTTATTTTATTTATTTATTGATTTTTTCAATAAAAAAACAAACAAACAAACAAACCATTGCAGGTTTTCACAAAACCGTGGGCCAAGAACCCACGTGAACCAATCTCCTTTTTCCCTCACTCTCTCGTTTTGATTTCCCATATATTCTTATTATTTCTTTCTTTTTTTATTTCTCTTAAAAAAAAAAAAAAGGCAGAAGACGAACTGCACACCAAACTCATTTTATTCATGTCGGGGCTCACCCCGATCACCATTTTACACCACACAAAAAAAAAAAAAAAAAAAAAACAAACAAACAAACAAACCAAACCAACACAAATCGGAAAGTGGATTTTTCTCTCTACTCTCCGCCGGTCTCTTCTCTTGCCTCCGTCCCTGGGGCGGCTCTTGACGGTGTTGCCTCCGTGTTTCCCACGCCCCGAGCACGTTCACTCCCCTGCTCTCCAACTACAGGCATACGGATGCTACCTTCAAATCAGAACATCCACGGTGGCCTCCGCTCAGCTCCTTATTTTCCGGCCTTTAGCACACTATCTCTGCTCGCGCATCCTTATACATGCGTTGGAGCAGAGCCAGCTGGCGTTTAACTGCTGCACCTCATTGTCCTACTCTGCAGCCCGGTGCGACAGGTTGTGACCGCGTCATGATCTCTACACATGACTTCAAAGTATACGATGTGCCCTCAATATTAGTTTGCACGCCATTTTTTGCTCCACCGACCGCTCGGAAAATTCAACGGAGCAAAACAAGAGGCGCTTGGTTGAGGTTTTACTGGCACAACCACAGTATCTCTCTGTTGACTCGTGAGGTCGGGAAAGAGTGAGCAGACCACCGGGACGAAGAGGCTATATTCTGGGTAGCTGAACGGGAAGAACGAGGGCCAATGTTATGGGTTTGCTGAGTGTTTCAGAGAAGGGTTTGGTTAACAGAGTGTTTACAGAGTGTTTTTACAGATTTGCAGCTGCTTAGCGACAAGCTCACAGAACTGAAG